GTATTGAGGTTTCCTTTCCTCCATGCAAATGTTGGTAGCAAAGCTGCTCCTTGTTATTCCTTTTTTAACAGGATACTTCTCTTTTCGATTCACTTTTTCTGCCACAACATTGCGATGGTCTATTATGTCACCAAAGAGGGGGTCCATGGCCACCTTAGCTTGACGATCAATAAAGTTAACCAAATGAGTAAATCTTGCTCTTACTCCTTGTCGCTCTTTGATGTCATAAGCTTCTGATCGCCACCTTTCTTTCATCTTGTACGGTAGCTTTGAAAGTATAACTCTCATATTAGTAGGATTGTCCATTTCCTCCATGAACTCTCCATCTTCCATAGTATTCCGACAACCAATCAAGAACAGGGCATATGCACTCAAGACTTTTCCATCATCAGACTTGATCTGAGGCCACTTTAGAGCTTTATCAATATAAGCACTCGCTATGATTAGCTCGTCTCCATAATGCCTTTGCAGCAATCGTTTTGCTTCTTTAAAACCCTTGCTTGATGACATATACTCACAGCTTCTTACTATCTCTTGTTGCTCTCCAGCGGTGTATTGCTCTAGATAATATAGCTTGTCTTTTTCATTGTCTGTTTTGTGTTCTATGGTATGCTCAAAGGACCTGATGAAGGATTTGAACGTCAGTGGATCACCAGTAAACACTTGAATGTCTTTGCTTGGAAGCTGAATTTGTGTCTGCTGTTTCACAAGCAATTCTGTTAGTTCATTTTGCTTCTGCATAATTTGAATAATGTTGTCATCTGCTTGACGATTACTTCTGTGGTCTGTGTCCCTTGATGTGCCCAATTGTGGCGGTACAAAGAAGACTGGATTTAAGATGGCTTTCTTTTTTCTTTCTTTCTCAGACGAATGACCTGATGAATCGTCAATCTGCTCTGTTTTAAGTTCCTTTGGTTTCTGGTGGATTCCCCTTCTTGACTTAGATTGTATGCTGCATTTGCCATCTTCTGAGTTTTCATGTTCTTTTAGTACTTTCAATTTAGCATTGCTTTCTGCAAGCGCTGTTTCTATTTCAAGTTCCTCCATTTTGGCCATGAGTTGCATCCTTTTAATTTCAAGTTGTTGCTTTTTCTTTAAGGAAGCTGCCCTTGCCATCAGGGCTGCACGTTTTGATTCTTCCCGTGCATATGCAGATGATACGGAGGAGAAAACAGATCGACTTTCAATATCTGAATCACAATTCTTTTTAGATTCCCTCTTGTTCACAGACACTTGTGAGACACTGTCATGAGGAGAAACATCATCCTCCACTTCAGTCTTGTCATCTTGGCCTTTTTTATCACCAACAGCAGCAATCCAGTGGTTTATTTTATTTTCAAAATGTCTCATGGAATCCATTTTAGGCTGAAACCAATTTTGTTGATCTGCAATCTTTTCATCTTGAGGCAACCCAGATAGCAGCTGACTCTGGGCCGGATCCGCCTCCAAACCGGCAGATCCGTGTAACAGTCACGCCCGTTTTACTGCCCCATTCCAGATACGGCCCGCATGTAGTCTGTGTACATCGGGAGTAGGCGTGAACATCCATCAGTCGGCGGAATCATAATAGTTCTGGCCCGGACTCGTCGGAACGAGCGCGCGAATTGTTTCCTTTTTTTTTTTTTTAACCGGTTCATTCCAGATCAGAAGTCAGTCGGTGGAATCGTTGTTGTTCTGGCCCGGGGCCGTTGGAACGAGCGCGTGAACTGTTGGTCATTTGGATCTTCGGACTGCAAGCTCCGTGGAAAGAGTTTATAACGGTAAGTTGAACGTTATCAAACAGTCAAACAGTTTAGTGTGCTTGTTTTTAATAGCGGTGTAATGTTTGTTATCAACATTTCGGAAAGTTTTGACCGGGTTTTTAACTTCTTACGATGGCTATTGAAGAAGATTGGCTAACGTAACGTACTCTTTTTAGCTGGGTTAGCTGAATGAACTGATAGCTAAGCTAGCATTAATAAACAACTTTGTGTGTAGCTAGCTTAAACATTAATGCTGTTTAACGTTAGTTAACTTACAATGATGTTGTATACGTAGTTTTGAACAGCACTAACGTTAATTAACAGCACCTGTCTTCCTTTTTAGATATTTTCTTCACCCCTGGCTGCGAGAGCCCCGGATTAATAGGGTAAGTTAACTAAAGTATTTTTTTTCCGACTTTTTTTTTTTTTAAATCCTTATCCTGCTATGATAAAGCACAACATTATGAAGTTATGAAAGGTAAAGTATTAAAAATCAAAGCTAGAAGAAATTAGAATTTTCATCTGACATTAATTATAAGTTAACGTTAATTCATAGGTGTAAATTAATTGTTTACTAAGTTCACTGTCAAATTATGACAAATATAAGGTCTATGGGCGGGAAAACGCATCTCTCCGTTTCTTTTCGTTGACTTTGTATGAAATCCCGCCGTGGTATTATGGTTGAGCAGTGCCTGATTCATTTGGATATTTATTTGGGTTATGGCAAGCCACTTAACATTTAATCATTTTAACCTACTAGTCTCTATTTTCATGCTACTAGTACTTATTTTTTAGATATTAGTATCTATTTCATTAAGTACTAGTACTTATTCAATAGCTACTAGTGTAATTCTTTAGATACTAGTGTTCATTCTTTAGATACTAGTGTTGATTCTTTAGGTACTAGAACCTTTTTAAAGATACTAGTACTTAGATACTAGTTCTTTTTATTAGATACTAGTACTTATTCATTAGGTACTAGTACTTATTGCGATAGTGACTGACTATTCTTTTGTGACTAAATATTGTGACTTTTGTTGCCATTGACTTCCATGGGGATCTGTCATTCAGATATCAACTATTCAGTTCTGACTAGTATGTATTCCAATTGTGACTAGTACATATACATTAGATACTAGTAGTTATTCATTAGGTACTAGTACTTATTTTTTAGATACTAGTACCTATTAAATAGATACTAGTACTTGTTCATTAGATATTAGTACTTATTCATTAGATACTAGTACATATTTATTAGATACTAGTATTTATTCCAAATGTTACTAGTAAGAATTTTTATTTTACTAGTTTTACACTACTAATAATGCATAATAAGGGATGCAACTTTAAAGCCAAAAAAAATACTTTGATAGCAGTGCTGAAATAGATTGCAGTCATGACAGAACTGGTTACTCACATAATCACTTCCTCTTGAAAAGGTTGATTTAAGGATGATCCAATACAATCTAGTTGTGATTAGTTATTCATTTGTTTTGAGTTACTAAATGAAAGTCTACACAAAATTAGGTATTCTGCCACACCAACAATAGTAAACATGGGCAACATCTAAAGCTTTTCTCAAAACAGTGGGTTATTGGCTTGACTTAGAGGTAATTTTCAGAATTTGTACCCATCAACCAATTGACTTTCTCTCTTAACAGAGGCTGTGCGGAAGAACCAAGTTGCTAGCAGCGCATCGGACAATGAGATTAACCAGCACGCCATCCGCTGGTTCAACCCGGCCTCTGACCGCGGAGGTGGCCGCAAAGAACGTGCCATGGCCAGAGATGCATTAACCATGGTAAATTGTAGATAAATCATTGTGCTAGTCTTTTGTAGTAGTGATCGACCGATATATCGGCCGGCCGATATATCGGGCCGATATTTGAGGTTTTTGCGTGTATCGGAATCGGCCGATACACCGCTGCGCGTTCGCCGATAGTTTTTTTCCCCCGGCGTTATTTATAGTCAGGCGGCTACGGGCAGCTCCGTGCTGCTGGAGATCCTGCAGTTCACGTGCCCGCCCTCCCCCAGTAGCAGAGTGCAACCTGCTCTTCACGAGAATGGTAACTTAAACTTTCAAAGGATCTTTTAAATGTATGACTGCTGAAATATTGTGCAACACTTTGAAAATGGAAACCCGTCGCCCTATAACTGTTATGTGCTTGCAACTAAGCAAGTTTGTGGGTCCAAATGGAAAACGCGAATGCCTCGTCTATAAAACTTAACTGCTTGCCATTGTGGGAGCTGCAAATAGCTAAGGTGTAGGCTATCCGTTCAGTGTGCATTAGGGCTGTCTATGAATATTCTACATTCGAATATCTATTAATTTTGAAGGTGAAAATTAATATTTGAATGTGGAAAAACACGCCCGCGGTTGCAAACGTTACCACAGCTGCACAGGTCGCTCGGAGCGCTCACTGTCGGTTATACTGTGAAACTTCAATCACTGAATGAAGCCTGCTATATTTGGGACAAGAGTCACGACTCGCAACCTTAAATTGCTTGCACAAAACTCTTGATCAGCACTCAACATGTTGTTGTTGTTCATTTAACCGACGCGCAGAGAGCGTGAGGGCGAGAGAGAGAGAGAGAGAGTGCCTGAGCGAGTCCAGGGCGAGACAGAGTGAGCTCTGCGGTCTTGGCCATTAGTTGATTTACTTGCTTTTTAATACGTTGTCAAATATGTTTAAACTCAAATTAACTATCTAATACTAGTAGTTATGTCTCTTTTTATTAATGTGTCCTGTTATTGACGTAATGCGCGTCAATAACAAAACGCGCAACGGGATGTTCGAATATGTTTTTTAGAGGGAATATGCAAACGCCATTTGAGCAATTTTGACAGCCCTAGTATGCATACGGGTGCTGTAACGAACTCTGGTCATAGGATTAAGCAATGCCAATGTTGTTCAGTGCTTTTTGTGGGAGATTTATTCAGCGCCCACCTGGATGAGGTTTGGACGCGTGTGGTGTGTGTCTCCCTCGCCATCGCAGTAATATTACAGACTAGACATGCTCATTTTATTTTATGTAGAAAAATTGAAACCATGCAGTACATAGTTCGTTTCTTTTAAAATGAAGTACAGTGTGCACTGTGCACTTTATTATGCTGGTTGCTACTTTTTAATATTTGTTAAAAATTGTTTATCTACTTGTTCTTGTTCTACCTCACATGTCTTTACTATTTGTTAAATATTAATTTTTGAAGTTAGTTAAATGTTACTTTTATTAAATTGAGACCTGTAACATTTGTTAACATCATGTTATTTTTATGATGTAAATTGAGGGAGCAAAATGTATCGGCTCCAAATATCGGCTCAAGAAAATCGGCAGCCCGTATCGGTCATCGGCTAAGGCTGATGGGAAAAAAATCGGTATCGGTATCGGCACTAAAAAATCCATATCGGTCGATCCCTATTTTGTAGAAACATTTGTTTTGTCTTTAACTTTGCAAATTGTTGTTAATAGCATTGCAGCTACGTAGTACGTATGTAGGAACAGTGACATATTTTTTCAGGGCTGTCCTGGGAACGATAGAAATAGTCTGTAGGATGCATCTATAGGACGAAAGGGATTGTGTAAGCCTATGTGTTTATTTATTACGATCACTTAGCAAATGACAAACTAAACCAACTGAGCGCTGACTACAATGGAGGCAATCTTCTCACGCTGTTACACGGGTGTGTGACCACCAGGGCTCCAGACTAACTTTTTTCACCTCAAACCAACATACTTCCAGAGAAAACATCTATTAACTTGTTAATTTTAATGATTTTTGTTTGAAGTTTGAAAATGCAATACAGATACAGATTTAAAGGACAACTCCGGCGCGAAATGAACCTTTGGTCTAATTACACATTGCTACCTAGTCAACCGTTATCTGAGATTTGTTTTCATGATTGCTGAATGTAAATAGTTTTATCTCTGAAAACAGTTTAGCCTATAGTGCTAGTATAATGCTAGTATATAGGGCATAGAGTAATGACAAGTAAAAATCGCTTGTTATTACCACTAACAAGGCTCAAAATAGCCCCACACTAAAACGACAGCATAATAAGGGTCCCTACATTCAAACCGAAGCATTGAGAACTTTGTCAGTGTCCATACAGTTTAATAAGAAGATATTTTATACACACAGTCAACTTCGCGAATACAGGAAGAAGCCATCTTTGAAAATTAGTCTCTACCAGTCGATCTAAGAACGCCGATCCAAGTGCGCTGAACTGTGCAGAATCTTATATGGTCCGTTGTTTTCGGAAGAAACACAAACACGAACCGTTTTCTTCTCTTCAATATGTACACGTAGCCAACTGTTCACGCTCACCTTATCACCTTATTCACATCTCACCGGTGGACATGGATCGGCGTTCTTAGATCGACTGGTAGAGACTAATTTTCAAAGATGGCTTCTTCCTGTATTCGCGAAGTTGACTGTGTGTATAAAATATCTTCTTATTAAACTGTATGGACACTGACAAAGTTCTCAATGCTTCGGTTTGAATGTAGGGACCCTTATTATGCTGTCGTTTTAGTGTGGGGCTATTTTGAGCCTTGTTAGTGGTAATAACAAGCGATTTTTATTTGTCATTACTCTATGCCCTATATACTAGCATTATACTAGCACTATAGGCTAAACTGTTTTTAGAGATAAAACTATTTACATTCGGCAATCATGAAAACAAATCTCAGATAACGGTTGACTAGGTAGCAATGTGTAATTAGACCAAAGGTTCATTTTGCGCCGGAGTTGTCCTTTAACTACAAAAAACACCCCAACTACAACAGTTAAGCATGTTTGCGGTACAAGATAATCATTCATTAGTTGTAATTGTGGTAAAATGTTCTCTTAATCTGGATTTTGATTTTAGGTCAAATCTTCCAGCCTAGTCCCCTTTAATATTACCAATCTCAGTGGATTTTCATGTAATTTGTGATTGCCATTATCAATTGAGTTCTTACACTCTTTTTATACTTTGCAGGAATGAACGCATCAGCCATCCCACACTCTTCCATGATAGTTTGTTGGACGTTATGTGACGGTTGTTCCAACAGTTGTTCAAGACAGAAATTAGCTGTAGAAATGTGTTTATTAGACTGATTTTTAGTTTGGCAATTATCTACTTTGTTTTAAGTTTCTGTCCTGTCTTTTTTATTTTAGACATTTTAAAATAAAATTTTAAAATGTGTATTTTAAATAAAATTTTAAATGTGTCACTCATCTGTTCTATCACTTTGTTGAAATTCTATGCAGGACAAATAGAAACAGTCTGTGTAACAGCTTTGACTATCCATGCTTTGTGCTCCAAGAAAGAAAAGTAATCGGGTTTAAAATGCTAGGAAAAAGAAAACGCAAGTAAAACAAGAAATCGTAAGATGGTGGGGGAAGGGGATTACGGTAGTAATATTTACTCATTACAATTGACGACAACATTGCCCAGTACAATTGCTCTAAAAGTTGCTCTGTGAATCATCAGCTTTAGTGTACTTTGAAAATATACAAGTCATTATTTGTTACACTTCTCAGACAGAAATGGTATACCTTCACTGATATCTATTACTAGGACCCATAGTACAAGCTGAATCATGCACAACATCTAAAACAAACTAAACTACCCCTTTAACTGAAAAAAATCTGTATTTTTGTATATGGTTTGTTTTGTGGTATATAGATCAAGGTTATGACAGATGCCAGAGGTGGTGTGATTCCGGGCCAGAACTAATAAATGGAGCTGGCCCAGTGCCTGTCCAGATCTGGCCCGGATCCAGTATGGAACTGGTCCAGATCTGGCCCACCTTTGGGCCAAATAACTAAAATAATTCTCATCTGTTCTGGAGCTGGGCCAGTGCCGGCCCAGTGCCGGCCCAGATGTGAAAACCGGATCCACACCGGCATTGGCCCGTTGTGCTAAAGGACACCGGCCCGGGTCCGTTTTACAGATCTGGCCCAGAACTTATGAAGGTTCTGGGCCAGATCTGGCCCGCATGATTTTTGCTGTCTGGGAAAGTTTCTTGAATTTGAAAATTTAAATCCTTAAACTCAGCTATCAATTGTACAAAGTCAAATTGCATAAAATCTTGTACATTCTGCAGATTTTCTTCATCAATCATCAACTTTTCAATAGCTTTGATCTTACTGGTAAGAGCTGATAATTTCGCTCTTCTCTGGCCAATGCGTCTGTGTAGTTGCTGCTCTTTCAGTTGGTTTAGGCGCCCTCTTGTGTTCAAGAACTGCAACGTCATCCTCTCCTCCTTCAGCCATCTCAATTCTACCAATGCAAACTGATTGCACGCGATTAAAGGCAATCTAAATACCTTTCTGTATCAAACGTGTGCATTTCAGCTTCTTCAAACATGCATTTGTAATCTTAATAGCTGATACAAAGACCGTTACCTCAAATAATGGAACTTTGTCGAGTGACAAAGGGTCTTCTCGGTGACGGGCTGTTTAATTAAATCCACCGAAGCATAAAGCATCAATGTCCGATATCCACGATCGTGAAACGTTACAATGTTCATTCACAGACGAGCCCTTTCCAACGACGTTCTTGTCACAGAAAGTGCGCGCCGTCCGATGTCCATCGTGCGAGTTTTTTTACTTTCATGTGATAGCAATCCATCTTCATGTTTGGGTGAGCGTGATTTAAACTCGAATAACATATCAAAGTCCAGAAACTTCTTTTCGATCAAGTTTAATAACAAAATTAACTAGAAAATGTTACACGGTCAAAAAACTGTGTCGCTCCAACATTGCTTCACAAAAAACTAACCGTCACTGCCGGAAATGACATCATCGTTAATACAAAAAATATTATATTAAACATATCCAATTATTTACTCCTAACTATTTATTGATTGCTTAATGCATACAATATTTATTTCACATCTATATGTGACTTGGCTCTAACAATCGGTTTTCCTCAATACCTCATCATACTCAAGGATTCCCCTTCCGTTGGGACAAAACGCTTCACGTATCTTAATGGACTAATACAGTGATGTAAAAGACCAAACTTGAACCTTGGGATGTAGGCTGCTGTACTATATACATTCAAATATAGTATATATAGTAAACTATTCAAAACATTCAAAAGATTATGACAGTGAGGTTGATGTCCGACACATACAATTTACCCTATTCTGGGGTATAACATATTCACATGATATTATAATCTGTGTTTCCTTAATGAAGAAAATGATTACAAAATACATAACTATCAACAATGAACATAATATACCCAAAAGTGTTGAAAGGCGCATTTGACGGAGAGACTGAGAGTGAAAAATAAACTGGTGTGAAGAGAAGCTGTTTTATTCGTGCTTCATGCAGAATGACACTGAACACACTCGAATCTGAATTAGTGGTGTTTGCTGAGCGTCTGTATCAATTACTCTTACACTAAAATCAATTATTTTAGACAAGTTTCATCAATGTAACATCATTTAACACATTATTAACACTATTCTTGTGTGACACGACATATTCAGAACTGGACACCATGTGTGTTTAGTAGTTAAAACCACACAACGTCACACAGTCAGCAGTTCTCACCATGTGAACAGTTTTACACGCCAGTCAGAACCACAGGATGTACGAATAATTATGTGTCAATTCATCTCTACAAAAAAATAGCATGTTCAAGAATTGTTTAAAATTATATTATTATTCTCTCCATAAATGTAATCATTTCTGTAGATTTAAGTAGTTTTATGTGGAAAAGTTCAATATTGAGAGATTAAATCTTGATTCACGATTCTTCTGCTTTTATTTGTTATACTGTGAGACAAAGCATCAGATCCAGAATATTTCAAAAAGACTTTGTTTATTTATTAAGAAAAGTAAACAAATAAAATTATACTGCAGTAATACAAGTCAGGAGACTAAAATAAGGAATATGCGCACATATACATATACAAATGACAGTGTGTTCATGCGGTTATAATGAGAATCAGGAAAATATCACACAAGCCTTAAATGGTAAAGAATTGCACAGCGTTACATAAAGCAGAACAACATGACAGACTTCAGAGAGGCATTTTAATTAAAACAAAATATAAATATTAAAAGAGGAAAATAATTTGGCCAATGGGATTGTGGGAATGAATCTGAGAGGACGGGGATGTACTAGCGATGCTAAAGCTTAGTGAAGGTCTGATCCACATTAACAATAATAGTTTATTGGTCAAAAACAGAAAAGCCAAACCTTGTTAAAGCCAACATTAAATCAAAATGTACCCTTTCTTCACTATTCCACAGTTTAACCTGCTTTTTACAATCAATTCCTGGTGTATAAAACCAATTGGGATTGGAATCAATGGAAATCAAGTGTGTTGGGAAATCTGGTTCATGTTGAACAATCGCAACACACAAAATGTTAGACATTGTGAATCAGGAGTGACTCCTATATCATCTTTTAAGTATATTAATTGAACCAATTGCGTTTAATGATAGCAATGACTTGTAATAAATCACTGGGGTGTTTTCTCTCTCATTCTGCAGCATTTGTAAATCAGCACGACTGTCGCCAGCAGATATGGACAAGCTGCCAGAACAGAAGTGAGTATTTTGAGGACAGAGATCTGAGATTCTGAACGAGACGCTGAAAAAGAGACACACGAGCACTTTATCATGAACTATATCTGAACGACGGCATATGAAGAAATAAATCAGCTCACAGTTTCATGGCCTCTCACCTCTGACTGAGATCCAGCTCTTGAGCGACTCTCCTCTCGGGTGTTTGCAGTAGTAGAAACCCTCATGTGACTTTGAGACAGTCGGGATGATCATCTCTATAGTTTGACTCTGGACGAGTGATTCATCTTTATAGAAATCAGATCTGAGGTTTGATGGGGATGTATGATTATATAAACAGCGTAGAGTCAGATTATCTCCTTCAGTCACAGGATGAACAGGACTCTCCAGAATCACACCAGCTTCAGAAATAGAGGAAACACGCAATACATCAACACAATGGTAATATAATAAAAACAAGACAACTTTTCAGTTTTCCACTGTGCACTGGTTTCTGAGTGTATTTAGTGTGTTGTTATACAGTTCTGGCTGGTTGCTTACATTAGTATCTGCTCTTGTTAAAATCATCCTGCTTTATGCATTGATTATAAACTGTCAGTGAAATAAATAAATCCAGAAACACAGACTCACAGTGTACAGTGATATTAACAGGATGATATTTCTCTCCAGATTTAGACTGACACCAGTAAACTGCAGTGTCTGATGTGCTGGTGTAGTTGATTGTACATGTAGATCCTGTTTGTGATCCCCATCCTGATAATGAACAATCTTCCAGCCCTGAACTCTCTGTGTATCTTCTCACTGTCCATCCATCAGAGTTACTCTGGTCCTCACAGCTCAGAGAGAGAGAGTCGGATGTGAAGTGTTGAGTTCTGCTGGGACTGATGATCAGAGACACTGGAGGAGAAACACCTGACAAGATATCATTACAGAGACAATTAGGAAATTGTCTTTACTAAAGATGAAGATATTTTCATTTCATTTCATTTAATTGTTTATTTTTACAGGGACAATGCACAATTAAAAGTAATTGCACCAGAATTAGCTAATAGCTAGTTTACATCTGCTGTCCCTGGGCAGGAAGACAAATAAAATAGCATACATTACATATACACCACATAAAGCATCACAGTACATACATATGTAGAATATAAAATTTAAAACCAAAATATAAAACAAATAAAGTACAGTTCAGTCATTAGTGGTTGCAAATTTGTTTTGATATTATTTCAACTATAGTGTGAACTCACCAGTGACCCACAGTGGTTGTGTGTTGCTGTTTGATGTTGTATAGACTGGTTTTCCTCTCTCTGCTCTGCACATATAAACTCCTGTGTGATTTACAGTAACAGAACTGACAGTGTATTTTCCTCCAGCTCCTCTTCTGCTGTCTGAGAGCTCCTCATAGCGAACAATCCTGTCTGTGTTAAATGAGAATATGCAGATGATCACTAAAGGAAATTATCTCTAATAATGTTTTTGCTAAAACCAGTAAATGTATATGTTATCACATGGAGGACATTATAATACCTGATGAGAGAGTTACAGTGAACCAGCTGAATGTCCAGCCTGTAGAAGAGCCGTTAATCTCACAGTTCAGAGTCACTGGATCTCCTTCAGTCAACCACGTCTGAGGAGAAACACTTAACACTGTTGTGAAATCTGAGATACAGACATCACTCATTAATAACATGTTAAACTTGTGTGTGTTTATGAAGAGATGATCAAACTCACCCGATACTGTCAGTGTGACTTCATCACTCTTTCGTGAAATGCCTGATCCGTCAGTCTCTATTATATTACAGGAGTATTTCCCTGCGTGAGACTCAGTGACATAATTGAAAGTGTGTTCCTGTAGTTTACTGGAATCCATGAATGAATCTTCTTTATACCAGTTGTACTTCCAGCTAGAGACTCCTACAGCATCAATGTCACATCTGAGAGTGACCGTCTCTCCTCTGAACACATGTTGATCAGGTTTAATGGTCACTCTGGGTTTTGGTCTTTCTGCACAACAACAATAAACAATGAAAATAATGTGATGATGAATTAAAGACTAAAAATAATAAATGCTGTTATCTTCTCTCTAGGAACAGTTACTTCATTGACCAACACAGTGAATGTGTTTTTTCCAAGTATAACACGTTACTGAATAAACATCTTTATTGATCCTGAACAACACTCCAATCAACCAATCAGATTTGAGGAACAAGTTTACAGGTTGTAATGTTGTTGTTTTTATGTAATGAAAATTGTTGAGACATCAGTTTAATTTAACTAAGCATTGCAAATAGTTCTTGTAGTTAAAATTACTTTTATAAATATATTTTTCTATTACATCAGTTTTAAAGGTGTCTATAGAGTTGCTAATTTTCAAGACAAAGTAAATGTGAAACGATACTCAATGCTTCTATATTCTTCATAACAAATGTTGGGCATGTAATATTAATATTTAGCCTGACTTCGTCATACTCATATTCTATTGAGAAAATGAGTCTGAGACCGCTCCGTATGGGCTATATGCACGCATAAGTTCCGCATTTGACGCAAGGATGCTCGTCCATTCCCGGTTGTGGAGATTTAAGCGGAGGAAAACCGAGGAAAACGGGATTATGGCAGAGTCTTCAAAATTTACTGTCCTCCCGTCTTTGAAACGAAACGTACATACGTTTAGATGTACAAACCCGATTCCAAAAAAGTTGGGACACTGTACAAATTGTGAGTAAAAAAAGAATGGAATAATTTAGAAATCTCATAAACTTATATTTTATTCACAATAGAATATAAATGACATATCAAATGTTGAAAGTGAGACATTTTGAATTGCCATGCCAAATATTGGCTCCTTTTGGATTTCATGAGAGCTACAAATTCCAAAAAAGTTGGGACAGGTAGCAATAAGAGGCCAGAAAAGTTAAATGTACATATAAGGAACAGCTGGAGGACCAATTTGCAACTTATTAGGTCAATTGGCAACATGATTGGGTATAAAAAGAGCCTCTCAGAGTGGCAGTGTCTCTCAGAAGTCAAGATGGGCAGAGGATCACCAATTCCCCCAATGCTGAGGCAAAAAATAGTGGAGCAATATCAGAAAGGAGTTTCTCAGAGAAAAATTGCAAAGAGTTTGAAGTTATCATCATCAACAGTGCATAATATCATCCAAAGATTCAGAGAATCTGGAACAATCTCTGTGCATAAGGGTCAAGGCCGGAAAACCATACTGAATGCCCGTGATCTTCGGGCCCTTAGACGGCACTGCATCACACACAGGAATGCTACTGTAATGGAAATCACAACATGGGCTCAAGAATACTTCCAGAAAACATTGTCAGTGAACACAATCCACCGTGCCATTCACCGTTGCCGGCTAAAACTCTATAGGTCAAAAAAGAAGCCATATCTAAACGGGAACCAGAAGCGCAGGCGTTTTCTCTGGGCCAAGGCTCATTTAAAGTGGACTCTAGCAAAGTGGAAAACTGTTCTGTGGTCAGACGAATCAAAATTTGAAGTTCTTTTTGGAAAACTGGGACGCCATGTCATCCGGACTTAAGAGGACAAGGACAACCCAAGTTGTTATCAGCGCTCAGTTCAGAAGCCTGCATCTCTGATGGTATGGGGTTGCATGAGTGCGTGTGGCATGGGCAGCTTACACATCTGGAAAGGCACCATCAATGCTGAAAGGTATATCCAAGTTCTAGAACAACATATGCTCCCATCCAGACATCGTCTCTTTCAGGGAAGACCTTGTATTTTCCAACAAGACAATGCCAAACCACATACTGCATCAATTACAACATCATGGCTGCGTAGAAGAAGGATCCGGGTACTGAAATGGCCAGCCTGCAGTCCAGATCTTTCACCCATAGAAAACATTTGGCGCATCATAAAGAGGAAGATGCTACAAAGAAGACCTAAGACTGTTGAGAGGGCTAGAAGCCTTTATTAGACAAGAATGGGACAACATTCCTATTCCTAAACTTGAGCAACTTGTCTCCTCAGTCCCCAGACGTTTGCAGACTGTTATTAAAAGAAGAGGGGATGCCACACAGTGGTAAAAATGGCCTTGTCCCAACTTTTTTGAGATGTGTTGATGCCATGAAATTTAAAATCAACTTATTTTTCCCTTAAAATTATGCATTTTCTCAGTTTAAACATTTGATATGTCATCTATGTTGTATTCTAAATATAATATTGAAATTTGAAACTTCCACATCATTGCATTCTGTTTTTATTCACAATTTGTACAGTGTCCCAACTTTTATGGAATTGGGTTTGTACACTGTGTACATATTTACCATCAAAAGGTATTCAAATGTAAAGAAAATGTACATATGAAAAAACGTAGGCCTACGCAAAATAATAAACAGAAATAAACAATGAATTGTTTCAACAGATTTGAATTGCAAGGATACAGATGACAGTTGGTCCTGTGATTAGGCAGTGAAACAAAGATTGCAACAGTCCGTGTGGTCTCTACAGTTCTTTAAAGTGTCCAAAAGGCTTTGTGACGTTGATGTTGAGATGCAGTCTCAGGCCCTGAAGTATGGTAAATCCTCAGCGACGATAAATTCCAGTGTATAATCTAAGATGTTACTGAATATTTATCTCGCTGATGTATGACTCTCAAACGTGGTTCTACAATAAACAAATAATGTAATCAGCAACATAAAACTGTATAGATGTGATAAGATAACGTCAGTAGACTATGGAGTACCGCAAGGATCGGTTTTAGGCCCTCTGCTATTCTCAATATATATGCTGCCACTTGGTAATATTATAAGAAAACATGGAATTAATTTCCACTGTTATGCTGACGACACTCAATTATATATTTCATCACGACCAGATGAAAACACTAACTCATCTAAAATGACAGAGTGTCTCAAAGATATAAAATGCTGGATGACGCGTAATTTCCTGCTATTAAATTCAGATAAAACGGAGGTATTACTTATTGGTCCAAAAAACTACTCACAAAACCTCTCACAATACAACTTTAATATAGACGGATGTCCTGTTACTTTATCCACAACAGTAAAAGACCTGGGTGTTATACTAGACCGCAACTTGTCTTTCGAAAATCATATTTCATATGTTACAAGAACAGCCTTTTTCCACCTTAGAAACATTGCTAAGCTACGTAACATGCTATCAATTTCTGATGCTGAAAAATTAGTTCACGCATTCATGACCTCGAGACTAGATTACTGTAATGCTTTATTAGCTGGTTGTCCTGCATCCTCAATAAACAAGCTACAGTTAGTACAAAATGCAGCTGCTAGAGTTCTTACTAGGTCAAGAAAATATGATCATATAACACCGATTTTATCATCTCTACACTGGTTACCTATTAAGTTCCGCATCAACTACAAAATACTACTACTGACCTATAAAGCCCTAAATGGTTTAGCTCCTATGTACTTAACGGACCTTCTTTCGCCCTACAATCCACCACGTTCCTTAAGATCACTAAATTCAAGGCTTCTGGTCATTCCTAGGATATCGAAGTCCAGTAAAGGAGGGAGGGCGTTCTCGCATTTAGCTCCAAAACTCTGGAATAGCCTTCCCGATAAGGTTCGAGCCTCTGACTCGCTCACACAGTTCAAAACTAGATTAAAGGCGCTTCTCTTTAGTCAAGCATTCACATAATGCTTACCTTCTAGTCCTCTGTTATGCCATAGGCATAACTTGATTATGTCAGTCTTAGACAAACGGGTCGGCGCGTATGGTTGGGTTGCGGAGAGTTCAGGTTACGAGAGTTTGTGAGTTATAACGGAAATTATTATGAACATCAGCTATGCTAATTATTTCCCATCTGCCTTTCTGCTGTTATCTCGGGACGCTTGTCCTGAGAAAAATGACGTTCGTCAGGTCCAGTTTTGTGTCCAGCCTCTCACGGGGATTTCGGATGCCCCAACGCCTGTGATGAGACGACTCAACGCCTGTGATGAGACGACTCAACGCCTGCGATATGTTATGGCGCAGTTTTATTCATAAACAATATTTATATTTAATATTTATATTTAAACAATATGAATGTAAGCCAGAGGAGAACTGGCCCCCGACTGAGCCTGGGTTCTCCCAAGGTTTTTTCTCCATCCAATCTGATGGAGTTTGGTTCCTTGCCACTGTCGCCTTGCTTTTGGCTTGCTTTGGGCTTGCTCAGTTGGGATTATTTAGTGTTTAGCAATGTTGTTGATCCTGTGTTGTGCTACTTTCATGTTATCAGTGTGAAGCTGCTTTGATACAATCTGTATTGTGAAAAGCGCTATATAAATAAATGTGACTTGACTTGACATGTGCAATTAACACGACAGAAATGCTGAGACATTACAGCTCTATATAATGGATGATCACATTTGTGTCATGATTCTGCCTTCTTGTCTTTGATATTCTCTAGTCGTGAGGCAGGATCATGACAGAATCATGTTTTGTGTGCAAGCGCATGGCCAGTTTGGGCCATGTGCTTGTGTTGTCTCGTTACGTTACCCCGCCCCCTTGTTATCCTAGTCTTGTGATTATTGTCTAGTCAGTTTCACCTGTCCTTGTCATTAGTGTTCCCTTTATAATCCCCTTGTGTTTGCTGTCTTGTGTCGGTTCATTGCTAAATGTTACCTGTGAGTAGTCTGTGAAAAGCATTGTCATTGTTAGTATTATACAAAGTGTTGTTGGTTTCTTGTTCAGTCATTTTCTAGTCTTGTCAGTCTTATTTCCCTTGTTTCGTCTGTTTTGCCCCCTCGTGGGTTTTGTTTTCCTGTTTTGTCCTAATAAACCCTGAGTTCATTGTACACTGTCTGCGTTTGGGTTCATCTCCGTGCACAGCCGTGACAATTTGTCACTATAAACATAATATTTCACACAATCAGGTAACTGCACTCTCATTTAACATAAAATATAATGTAGCAGCCGTACATAAAGGTAAACAGTGAATAAGTGACAATTAAATAATAATATAAATGTAACTCACAATCTTCAATGACGCACATTCAGGAATCGTCACCATGGAAACTTCAGTGCAAAGTTTAATATCGCCCACTGCCGATCAAGAGCACAAATATCCTATTCTGCAGTTCACAAAGTGAAGGCGCTGCAGAAAGTGATGTTAATCTATCTTATTTCACTGCTTTACAGGTAAGATTGCAGGACCTAAACTTTCCCTCAGGATCCGAACCGAAGAAATATGATCTGCTTTCGCGCGAAGATTAAACCACACCCCTTCATATTCAAATCAATGACCAACATGACAGCTGCACAGCCTTTATAATAAGTGAACAAAAACTGAACATGGGCTTTTTTACAGTGTGTGTGTGTGTGTGTGTGTGTGTGTGTGTGTGTGTGTGTGTGTGTGTGTGTGTGTGTGTGTGTGTGCGTGTGTGTGTGTGTGTGTGTGTTTATGAAGAGATGATCAAACTCACCTGATACTGTCAGTGTGACTTCATCACTCTTTCGTGAAATGCCTGATCCGTCAGTCTCTCTTATATTACAGGAGTATTTCCCTGCGTCAGACTCAGTGACAAAATCGATAGTGTGTTCCTGTAGTTTACTGGAATCTATTGATGAACCTTCTTTAAACCAGTTGTACATCCAGTTAGAGACTGCAACAGCATCAATGTCACATCTGAGAGTGACCGTCTCTCCACTGAACACATGTTGATCAGGTTTAATGGTCACTCTGGGTTTTGGTCTTTCTGCACAACAATAAACAATGAAAATAATGTGATGATGAATTTAATGAATAAAAATCTTCAATTATCTTCTCTCTAGGAACAGTTACTTCATTGACCAACACAGTGAATGTGTTTTTTCCAAGTATAACACGTTACTGAATAAACATCTTTATTGATCCTGAACAACATTCCAATCAACCAATCAGATTTGAGGGACAAGTTTACAGATTGTGTCAAGTTTAAGTTCACAAGTTGTAATGTTGTTGTTTTTATGTAATGCAAATTGCTGTTGAGAGATCAGTTTAATTTAACTAAGTATTACAAATAGTTGTTGTAGTTAAAATTACTTTTATATAAAAAAAATTCTATTAAATGTTCAGTTTTTAAGGTGTCTATAGAGTTGATAATTTTCAAGACAAAGTAAATATTAAAAGATACTCTATGTTTCTATATTCTTCATAACAAATGTTGGGCATGCAATATTAATATTAGTAATATTACAAAATTTGTAATTTTTGTAAGTGAATGTTGTTTTTTTGTTTTCACAACTCAAAACCATCTGTGTGGTGTTACTAGTCACAACACATTCATCATTTGTATAACTTGTTTTAAAAGCTGTGTTTATAATCATGACACTCTTTTCACTGGATTCATGAAAATCTTTTTAAAAAGTTAAGAAAGTTCTTAAGATAAATTACAAGAATTTCATCAGAATGTTCCTTTTAGGGATTTTAAGGATGGAAGTTATCCTAAATTAGTTCATTTATTCACTCACCTTCAGTGTGTCCAGAGTGGATGGTTGAAATCAGCACTAAAAATACAAAGCAAAAACATGAACTCATGAAAGATTACGCATCTTTTTAAATGTTTCTAGTAAAGATCATTAAACTCATCTGTTGGTTATCCAACTTATTTGCAGAGTTCTTCCCATGAGTCAAACGGCTGTGTTTCTCTTAGTGGTCCCTGAGATGTCTTTAGTTTGTAAATTAGCTTTAGGTATAAGGGTCTGTCCCACAGACAGAAATTTGGGTTTTTACAGTGTGACCATTGAGCGCATCAACTTTGTGTTATTAACCCTTTAAACTTTAAACTGGTGTTTAGTAACACAAGACTTCACTCACTACTTTCCTCCTCATTCATTTTTTAAAGTAACCATATTAGTATTCCTCAATAAATTAATTTTAAACAATATAACAAGCAAAAAACCACACAAATATATATATATATATATATATATATATATATATATATATATATTAACAATACGCCCGTCTTACCATTATTTTTTGTAAAAAACAAAAAACAAAAAAACAATTGTACAGGATCACTAACTAGTAACATTGTATGTATTTTTCTGCACAACAATAATTGAATTTTGATGATTTAATGGGGATGCCATGCTGAGGTGTTGAGTGCCCTAATGACTGACACAAGTCAAAGACACAAAGGAGTCCCCATCCCTAAGAAGCACACCAGCATAGTGATTATTTCCCGACAACCAAAGTCCAAGCTATAAAGTTCAAGTTCATTTTATTTATATTGCACGTTTTATAGCAGCCACTGACTGACCAAAGTGCTTTACAAAACTACAGAATTAAAATACAATAATGCCATGTATAAAAGCACAGCATAGATACAGCAAAGCTAAGAACAGCCTTAAACAGGAGTAGCAAAAACAGTGTCAGACTCATCAATAATACATCAGAAATGGCAGTATCAGACTTAAACAGCATCATACTCAAAGGAGAAAATAAATAAAAGTAAACACCCGTTTTTTATAGGCCAAGAAAATAAACCACCCGTGGGATCCTTTGGCTGAGCTCATGGATCAGAGGACTCAGCAATACGTCCTACGCCTGTCATCAGAGCTAGCAGTTTGACAGCATACCGGGCGTAGTCAAGGAAGTGGAGGTCTCTAACAGAATGACTCTCACCAATGTACCCCATAGGGCTTATTATTGGACATCAAGGTACATACATGTTCCTTTTTGACGGTCAAAAATGTACATGTATGTTCCCAGGAATTAAAAAGTACGTATATGTACCCCTTCTATGTTTTAAAGGTTAAGGTACAAAGCAAAAACTCCAGTGTTAAATAAACTCTCCTGTGTTCAAGTGTGTTAAAGTTAATGAGATAATTAAGTGATTCATTAAGTGATGATTGACGATTATTGAAGACAGCTAATGTTAACAAGCAGAATCACTGAAGGAGAAAATATTTTTTAAGACACCATTATGGTGATCAGTGTTTGCTTTAGATGGGCTCTTGACCCTTAAACATTAGATTTTGTTTGGCTGCTGTATCTGAGTTGTAACTGACAGATGAACAAAGAGAAAAGTTGATCAGATGGTGTTGGTTATGTTTAGACATCTTGATCTGAATCACACATCACTTTTAGAGAGTTATGTCTATCTTGTTGATTACAGCAGACTGTGATTCCACAGTAAATGGTTTTCAATCTTCTAAATATAATCCAAAATATTTCTTAAAAGTTTTTTAGATCAGACGACTTTGAAATTGTATTTGAATTTAGACACACTGACATTAATGATCAGACAGTGAATATCAACAATGGTGACAATAATAAAGCATGTTGCAGTGCATTCTGGGTGCCACTAATCAAAACTCATTCATGGCGCTCATAATGCATTGCTGTATGAATAAATTACAATCTGAATTGTCTAAGTAATTTCATTTCACTAATGGCATATTCTGTTTGTCACCATTGTTGAGATTCATACACTGATTCTTGATGTCTGTGTGTGCCTAAAAGAAAGATTTTGTTTTATCAGAACAACTTTTTAGAAATATTTTAGATTTTTTTTAGAAAATTCTGGATGGTATGTTGTAATCACAGTGATGCTGGAATCTATTATATACATTTATGTCAGAGAATAGACTCTAAACGAGTCCAGATATTCAGGACAAATTATGATTATGTCAAAACATAATCAACACCACCTGACCAACTTTTCTCTTTGTTCAACTGGCAGTTATAACTCAGATACAGCAGCCAAACAAAATCTAATGTTAACAGTTTAAGAGTCAAGAGCCCAACTAACGCAAACACTGATCACCATAATGGTGTATTAAAAAGTAGATTTTCTCCTTAAGGTATCTTCAATAATGGTCAATCATCACTCAATGAATCACTTAATAAGATTATTAACTTTAACACTCTTGAATGTTAACCCGTTTAATCCCACCGGTCACAATTGTGACCACAGCTTTTTTCTTATTTCTGGAAGCTCTAAAAATGTTGATATTGACTTTGGGCAAGAAATTCAACTTTTAAATGACAAAATAGATTGTCTTGATTAAAATCAATTAATGTCATGTGACTAGTGTGAAAGGTCACATGACCAGATCAGTTCACTTCCTGCTTGTACATCTAGAAGAAGATTTCTTCCTCAGACTACTAAAATAAGTAGTATATAAAACATCTTAATTTACAGATAGAACTATCAAATTTTGTACATATGTTCTTTAAAGGGTCTACTACTGATATATTTTGAGAATTATACTCATGCATTTATATTTTGCTCGTAAGACTTGTAAATTTGTTTACGGTCACAATTGTGACCGGTAGTATAACAGTATAGCAGTGCTTCAATTGAAAACACAGGTATTGGCAGATATTGGCGGGTATTGGCAATCCTACACTGAATATGCCACATCTGTGAGGAGGATGGATGATCTCGGCGAAGGAGAAGTGATCCTTCAACAGAACAACAGAAATGTGTACAAACCAACAAATGAGTACAAAACAAACCAACAGAAATGGTTCAGCAAACACCATTACAAAGCAAAACACTGAGTGACTGAACAAACAGAGTAACCCAAACACAACACAGTGCATTTCTCTTTCACAAACAGCACTATCTGCTCACTTCCTCTCTCAAGCTCGTCTTTCACTCAGAGATCATCAGAGATGTATAAAGTACTAGAAACCCGGACTTGAGTAAAAGTACAAGTGCTCTATCAAAAAAGTGACTTGAGTAGAAGTTGAAGTGCTCTTTAAGCACCACACTCAAGTAGAAGTACTAAAGTATTCAACAGTTTTTGTACTTAAGTATTGCAAGTAGTTAATATTAAAATTCACTACTTAAGTACTAAAAGTAAAAGTACAAGTATTGTGTCATGTAATTATTAAAGAAAGCAGTCAAAAGTTTGAACTAGCAATCAAATAAGGCGCTTTGGCGGGATGAAAATTTGCTTTGGCGGCCGCCAAAAAAATGTCATTGCAGGACGACCCCTGCATTAGTTGACAATTTGTGTGTCAATCAATACCATTACCCTATAAAACTGGCAGTATGAAAGCCAACTTGCAACGAATGATTCGTAAAATTTTTATTGTAACGAGTAACTAGCAGAACATTAAAAAAATATCGAAGTAAAAGTATTAAATTCATCGAAAATATCTACTGAAGTAAAAGTAGAACTATGAGAAAAAAAAACAATACTCTATAGAGTACAGATACAGCAGTTTAGTAGTTCTACTTCGTTACTATACATCTCTGGAGATCATGGACTAGAGCTGGATTTGAAACTGAGATCAGCATGAAAAGAAAAAAATCCAAGAACATTAAATCACTTGAAACTGTTCAAACCCATTCATAATATAACAGCAATGACCATCTTCTGAAACACACCGAGGAAATAATACTCACAGAGCACAAGAGGAAGTTGACTGAGCTCCATACTGACCAATAATGACAGACGGTTAAAGACACAGACTGGGTTAAAGCCTCAAGACTTCCTGATTCACACAGTCAGATCTACAACATGACTGATTAAAGACACACAAATGCACCTCATGTGTTACAAAAAACCTTTTGATAAAGTTGATAATCTTGTAACAAGTTTTCAAAAAATATAAAGTTTCCTTCAGTTTCCCTTTATAAATTAATATTATGTGTGTTTAATGGACAAGGCAAAATAAGCAATACTTTGATGGATCTTTATTGATAATAGTAGCTGTATGTTTAACTTTATTAAGTGCAAGAGCTGAAAATGATCAAACCAAACCACAACTAGAGCTCATCTCTGTCTATTTCTGTTCAGGCCTCTGACAACAAGAGTGTCGACTTCAGCACTGATGTATTTGTACATGTGAATATAGTTTAATATTCAGGACAAGGGATGCAAATGATTTGTATGCCTGTTCCACTTAATGAATGACCGGTTAAAATAACAAATGTGTCAAAATGTTTTGAAAAAAGAAAAGCAATCCTTATCTTACTGCCCTCAGCATTCTGGGCAGTTCTTGCCAAAGGTCACAAGTCTTATTGTCATTTGGACAGTTTACATGTGCAAACCTGACCCCTGAAATTTGTGAAGTAGACAAACAACGACGACAGCACTAAAATACAACAACAACAACAACAACAAGCACACTGGCACATGGAAAAGTGAAATACAAGATTACAATAGTCGTGTTAAATTATTGTGTCTTTCTTGTTTCAGAACCTGATTGGGAATCAATATTCAGTGGTTGCCCCATACTGGGCAGCGTACTCAACGTTTCGTCTAAAAAATTGTTTAAAAATACAACCTATAATATTCAACAGGCAATTTTCGGTCCGTTTTATTTCGCTTTGCAAATTCGCTTCCACAAATTCAGTGGTTCAAATTCAACATTGACATCCTACAGGAAAAGCAGTCGATTACCGAGCATAATCTCCATCCACTGTCAGTCGACCTCACCAGCCGGAGGGGCAAAAGCGTGTGTTGTTGACGAAGAATAATTGAGCAGGTATTAAGTTTTTGTGATGATTATCTGAGTCAGTAAATGTGCGGAAAAGATGATA